TATATATAACATACATATATATATATATATATATATATATATATATACATGTATATATATATATATATATATATATATATATACATGTATATACATGTGTTGTATACATGAATGTATTAGACATATATAGCTATGTATATACACACACATTCATAAATATATATCAAAGTAAAAACGCAAGTAATACTCAACACCATACCATCATCCTACTATAAAATCCTTTCTACCCTGCCAGGACCTGCCCCGACCTCTGACAGTGAGTGTCCCGCCCTTCACAGCCGGACTATATAAGGACGAGGCATAGCACACAGGTCATAGTCGGACGCACCCCTCCGCACGCCACAGACATGAAGGTTCTCGTTGTTGGTGAGTTGGAATCTGTTTTTAATTATTTTCTCGGTTTATTTAACCATATATGATAAAACAAAGATATCTTATTTTTAGTATCTGTTTGTTTTATGATTATGTTGTTTGTACTTAGTACTTTGTGTGTTTTTTTTCTTGTTTTGGTTATAGTTTATTCATCTCAAATTATTCTTACAGTGGCACTGGCAGCTGCCGCTGTCGGCCAGCAGTTCCAGCAGCAAAGGCAGTATGACACTGCCGTCCGCCTTGCCACTCCCGGATACACACATTCTTCACCTTCCTTCCAAACGCAAATGGCCGACTCCAGAACTCCAGACTGCCACTTCAGACGCCAACACCTTCCGTCAGTCTGGACTCTTCCAGAACAGCAACCAGCTCCAGAGGAATGCTGCCACCAACCGCAACCAGTTCCAGACTGGTTCCTTCCAGCAGAGCTCCTTCGACTCCAACGCCTTCCAGCAGAACACAAGTCCATTCCAGCAGAACTCAAACGCTCAGTCTGCCAACCGCTTCTTCCAGTCAGGTTCCAGTCAGTTTGGTTCCGACAACCGATTCCAGACCAACGCCAATCAGATCAATTCCGGAAGCCGATTCCAGTCCGCCAACCAACAGGACAACTCTTTCCAGTCCTTCGACAACCAAAGGAACTCTGCCTCCACATTCTCCACATTCAACAACCAACAGAACCTTGGTGGTCAGTTCCAGCAACGTTCTTCTAGTGGATTCCAGTCAGGCTTTAATCAGCAGGATTCCAACAACCCCAGTCTGGCTTCAACAACCAGAATTCCAACCGATTCCAGTCCAGCTTCAACAACCAGAATTCCAACGATCGATTCCAGTCCAACTTTAACAATCAAAATGCCAACCGATTCCAGTCCACCTCCAATAACCAAGATTCCAACAACCGATTCCAGTCCACCTTCAACAACCAGGATTCCAACCGATTCCAGTCCACCTTCAACAACCAGGATTCCACCAACCGTTTCTCTCAGAACTCCCAGGCCGGTTCCTTCCTTCGATCCGGTTCGTCTTTCGACTCTTCAGTTGACTCCGCCAGTGGCGTGTTCGAGCCTCTGAACCTTCCCTCTGGTGCTAGCTTCCTGCTGGGGAGCATCTCGTCCTCCTTCAACTGCCTGGACCGCCCCTACGGCTACTACGCTGACCAGGACAACTCGTGCCGTGTCTTCCACATCTGCAACCCGGCACTCTTCTCCGGCGTAAAACCTACCAGTACAGGTAACTAAGGTTGCTCTCTCTGCTACTTAGACAGCATACGGTTACTGGAATCTATGTATATATGTACTCCTGAAGGATTTCCGTCAAGGATTAGGGAATAAATCGATTCCTGACTGAATTGTAGGCATGTCTGGCAAATGAGATTCAGTCACAATTTGTTTCCAATATTTCCTCAGCTTTATCTGTGGCAAGGGATTATAGTATGTTATTTTATACAATAAATAAACGCACTTGTAAAATCACCAAGCATGAACCAATAAGGATAGCAAGTCCTTTGCTAATACTAGCGTTATTGATGAATAGAGAACTTATGTCACGAATGACTTACCTAAACTTCAAACTAATTTCGATTATTTTTTTCCTCAGCTTCATGTGCGGCGAAGGAACCGTGTTCGACCAGAAGGAGCTGACCTGTGTGGCAGAGTCGTCCGCCATCCCCTGCCAGGAATCCTCCAACTACTTCTACACCAACGAGCAGTTTGGACGCTTCGAAGACAAGGCCCTTTAAGAGAATCAAAGAGTATTCTCTGGAATGATGGATTATTTTGTTGATGATCTACAGCGTGTTAGGAAGAATAGAAAAGAATATGTTTTGTACCGGTTGTACATGTCATTAGGTGAAGTGCAATTTTCAATAAATTAACCACAAAAATACTGGATTTTCTTTGATTACATAGCAGTGGAATTAATGGGAGAATTATGGAACTGGTAGAGTACTTACAAGCAATAAACTAGAAGAACCTTTAGATTCTCTACATTTTGTATGTATTAGTACCGCTTTCATTATGTTATGACTGTTATCATTACTGGGCGTCTACACTTTATTCTTCTGTATAATGATGGATAGATTTCACAGAAATTCTCCAAATGCTCTAATAGTTCTTCAGAAACCTGGCGA